AAAGCCCAGGAGGACCAAGCTTAGGGCTGCTGATTTGAACTGTCCCCTCTGTTAAAGGGGCATCATTGTCACAGTGGACTTGTCTGAAACCCAGTGCTTCCAGCCTTCGTGTTTCCTTTTACTTCCACCTCTCTGTGCTACTTACTCAGCCAAAGCAAGGGCTGACTAATACTGGAAGCATTTGCCTTTCCATCTCCTCCTTCCCTCTTCTGGCTTGCTTTCTTTAAAAAATCCACTCAGTAGCTTTGACATACAGACCCACACAATGGACATGGGGAAGCTGAGGCACAGGGAAAGGTGCAGAGCTGAAAGGTGGCACAGTATCAGTGTGGGAGTGAGCAGCAGAAGCAGGCAGAAAGCCAATCTCTCCTGATTCCCCATCCTGTGCTCAAGTGTTAGAGATGGCTGTAGTTTCATTTTTGTCAAAGTGAGTAAATTCTTGCATGGGTTGTCCCTGGCATATTCCATGTTCATTTCCAGTTTGTGAAGAGCCCCAGATCACCTTCTGCAGTGTGGTGGACCTCAGAGCCTGTCTTACCTTTGGCACATTTGTTACCCCTGTGCTTGCCCATCCCAGGACCTGTTTGTATTGTGCATACAAACCCACCAGTGGGGAGCAAGACTGTTCTGGTGCAGTGAGTTCATATATGGAACTGTGCCAAAGCTTAATGAGCAGTCAGAAAGGTGAAGGAACATTCAACATGCTTATTTGTCACTGCTGCTGCTCCCGGGGGCGTCCTTTAACCCTCTGAGTTCAACACTGTATTATGCAAGTTTTGTTTTTGTGCTCAGTGGAGTGTGTAATTGTCCCTTTGGTGACTTGAAGAACTCTGAATGTTCAAAGACCATTTGGGGAGCAGGGGGGTAGAGGGGAAAACCCAAGCAGATAAGTGACCTATTTAAGCGAGGTTTACATTGATTTCACTTTCTGTTTGGTTTGCAGAACTGCTTCTAGTGTGGGCATCTCTTCCTTCTGCACTAAACACAGAAGGGGATCTTAGTTCTTGGTTGTTAGTGATCCCTGTGTTACCTGGTGGAGCCTTCAAGACATTAAGCCTGATACACTTGGAGTTAGAATCCAGCTGAAATAATCAAAGAAATGAAAAAAATAATTTGATTTTTAACCTCAAGTTGGACTAAAAATTCCCAGTTCCTCATTCAGTATTCTGGAATATGAAGTGAAATATTCAGAAGACAGTTTGCTTGGGACTATCTAAAAGGATAAAATGAAAATGAAAGAAATGTTTATATATATATGTGTGTGTGTATGTCACCGTGTACCCTGTCCTGCAATCCAGCAGCAGAGAACAGACACATCTCCTCAGAGGAATGTCAATGTGGGATGTTAATTCTGCAGTTCCTGGGTAACTTTGGATGGTTCTGCAGGCGCTTGGGTGGCAGTGGTGTGAGCCATGTGGGCAAAAAAAATGCAGGGGAGAGACAGGCCAGCTCTGTGTGACTGGACACTTAGAAATGTGGGCCCTGCAAAAGTGACAGGTTTGGAGAAGACAGAGGGATGTGCTGGCTTGGAGATTTGGCCCTGGACCAGGAACATTGCTGAAGGCAGGGTGGAAGCTCCCTGTTAGAGACAAATGCAGCTGTGGTTAAGGTGGTTCTTGAGGGCAGTCTTTGTTCACGCAGTCTAAAAAGAAACATGTAAACCTACACCTGCAAGAAGCGCATTCGTGTGGGTCTGAGCCAAACCCTGTGGAAGTCGGGAGGAATCTTTCCACTGACTTCAATGGGCTCTGAGTCCAGGTCCCTGGTGATTGGCTTGAAGTGACACATAGACTATTTTTGTCTGACAATTTTTTCCTTTCTGTATTTTCCAAAAACACCAGAAAGAGAAGAACAAGTAAGAACTTCATCTGTTTTGCTAAAGTAGGACTGAAGGTTGCATTATTCCCCACATCCCAGGGCTGGCTGTGGAGATTGTGGGATGCAGCACTGCAAAATTGAGAGGTCCTTTTTTTTTTTTTTTAAATAAAATAAGTAATCTAAGTTATTTACATTCTTGTTCTACAGATTGAACCAATGGAATGGTTCAATGGGATGGAAAGATCTCTGGAAACATTAACAAATGTGGTGTTTGCTTGCTTTGTCGCATTGCTGATCGCAGCAGGCGTATGAGATATTTTCTTTCTAAATTTGTAGAAATAAGTAACAAATTCTGCAATGATCTTTGAAAAGGGATGCTTGCCAGACGGAGTCTAACAAAATGTTTGGAAGTATAGGGCTCACTGTGCCTTTCAGTTCTGTTTCCTCGACGTTGCCTTTCTCTTGACTTTTCTACTTCACCCGTGTGTGGTGCGAGCTCTCCAGCAGCCATCAGTAATATGGATCAGTGGAGGCCTTCAACTTTATGATTAAAGCATTAAACATCAAATTCTTCTCTACTGCCTCACTGCAGAAGTTTCAAAGGAGTTTGGTTGCTCTTTTGTGGATTGATGTATGGGGGGGGTTGACAGTTGAATAGCTGCAGTTGGGTTGGTATGCAAACTTTCCTGTTGCTGTGAAAGGAATGTGTAAGAAAGCACTGACTGATGCATCTCTAGAGACATCGTGCAAGAGCTTAATTTAGTCCTCTTTTTAATAGAAACTTGGATCTCAAGCCCTGCTCTTGTGTAATGACAGGCAAAAGGAAAAACTAACAGGCTTGCTTGCTTTTGAAACCTGTCAGTTGGCCTTAAAGAGGGGCTTTGCTAAAAGAACCATGTATAAGAGTGAAAAGATGGCCAAAGTGCTGATGAAAAACATTGTAAATGCAGTCAGAGCAATGTGATAGATGAGTAGCTTGGGACTGGCAGCCTTTCCAAGCAGTGTGTGAGGCTGTGTTTTCCTATGGGAATGTCTTTCCCAGAGCCGTGATGATTGGAATAACCAGTGAGAGACAGTGGCTCCCCTTGAACCTGGAGGGAGGCCTGTGACCCCTCTCTCTCTTTCCCTTCTTTTAAACCTGCTTCACTTGATGTGCATCCACCTGCATGCAGATGTGGTGCATTCATCCCTGTGTATGGATTCTGGGAGCAGGGTACAGCACTGACAACCCTCCCATGCAATGGCAGGTCCCAAACTTTCTTGCACGTCCTACTTCCAGTAAAAGACTGGCTTTTAGAGCCTGTAGCTGCTCCTTTATAATTTTTGCTAAATCATGGTCTTCCAGCACACAGTTTACACTTTCACAATGCTTTGCAACTCCATCAGCAAGAACTAGTCTCTATATTTAATGTATTTTGCCCTTTGATTAAAGCTTCTGCTGACAACATGCTTGGCTGGCGATGCACCAGCTCACAAAGTCGGGTATATGATGGCAAAAGAGCTGTGTTGTGCTCTGAAAGAGCTGTTATTACTGCTTGCATTTTCAATCACTGAGCTGGACCTCGGCTTGCAGCTTCACAGATTCCAAGCCCGTAATTACTGGCTGCTGCCTCTGCTGTGAAACACTTTATTAAGCCTTTAGAGTCATTAAAGATTTTCAGGAAATTTATGGGAGCTCAGGTCATGTTTCCTATTTGTTTATGTAGCCCAGGATCTGCCAAAAATGTGGCCTGTAGAGTTTCTGTAGCGAAGCTTGTGTTCACCCAAATCGGCTTAAGGGACTGATGGGAACTGCCTGTTCCATCTTCCCTGTCCTTGTGTGAGCTGTCGTGGGCAGTGGGATGCAGCCCTGCATCACAGAGCACACAATGATTCCAGCAAAATTAAGTGAAGTTGCTGGACTTGGAGCTGGTTTCTTGCTGGAGACAGTGGCCTCTAAAGCTGTCAGAGCCTGGGTACTGGGGCTGTGAGCTCAGGTAAAACTGCTGCTGCCACAGCAGGAGTAAGGACTGAGCTCAGTGTGAGTAAGAAACCTGGGAATTGGTCCCAAGTGTTTTAAGGGACTATTGTTTCTTCCTACCTCGGATCTAAGGGAGCCAAGGGGAGTTCAGGGCTCGCATGGCTGCTTGAACCAGACAAGGTGTGGCTTTGTATGGGATGGTGCTTGACCGAGGAGCATTAATATTCACCAGGATGGCTCAGAGCAATTCATATTCATGACACTACATCCCGAAATTTAATTCATCTGCCACTTATTTTTTTTTTTTTTGGACAAAATTTACATTCTGGGCTTTGCAAATGCCCTGTTGTATCACAAACATGTGGCATCAAACATGCCTTCCCCAGTCGTCACACAGAGGGGTCTGCTATGCTGAGCCAGCTTAGCAATGGAGCTCAGCCTCCCAAATATCTTGTACTGTGATGATGTTGTGTAGTGTTTGGGGCACATTTGCTGCCCAGTTCTAAGGTATCTGTTATTATAGACCTCAGAGCAGCTTTTCACTGAGCTGTTAGAGATCTGTATTTTTAAAGCTGGAGTTGTGAGTCCAAACTTGCAACATTCAACATTAAATAACCGTGTCTTGGTCTGTAGAACATCCATTTATTACAGGATTAAAAGCACTTGTAATGAAGAAGGCCAGTTACAATTACAGTCTTTCTATTATCATGTGTAGGACAGGCTAAAGATAACTTTACACAACCAGCTCACTTCTGACACCAGTCCAGCAAGGTCTGTATTAATGTCAAAGCAGGGATTGATGGCCGTCCCTGCAGGAAAGGCTCACCCCCCTCTTGGGGAACAGAAAAGCCCAGTCAGTGTTCCTACAAGCCAGCCACACTAGTGTGTCTGCATCCACATTGCTGTGGCTTTGGGGCCAGACTGCATTATTTATCTTGGGGTGCTCCCTGGGATTTACCCAGCTGGTCCCCTGGGATAGAGCTGTGGGTCTGCCCTCTGCTTTTAATTGCCCTCAGCAGGGTGGGTATCTGCTGCAGGCAGGTCCTCTGGCTGACGTGGAGCTGACAACCTCCCTGTGTTTCTCTCAGCTGAACAAGCAGTGGCAGCACATGTCTGGGGTCTCTCCCAGCACCTCTTGGGATCACCTGCCAGAAGGTCAGCAGCCTGAGCTCAGCTGGAAAGGGAAATGCCAGCATGCACCTCTGGATTTCGGGACTGCCCCAAGATGCTCCAGAGGCTCCAAAGGTAAGTACAAGATTGGCACTTGTCCAATGACACAGGCACATTTTCCAGTATTCTTGTGTTAATGATCATTACAACCAGCTATGGCCAGGGGCCTACAAAACTTTCCATCCTCATTTGTCTTTACAGATCAATAGGTGTGTAATGTAGGCTGGTAATGACGCTAATTATTACCCACGGATTTCAAGGACGTAAAGCCCGTGCCAGCCCAGGATTAGATGGCTCCTGACTCTCAGACCTTTAACAGGCCACTGGTTTCTCTTTCTCACCAGCGTTAATCAGCACAGCTTTGCTGACACAATGGAAGTGTCTGCAAAAGCCAAGGCGGCTGTGCCTTGGCAACGTGCCTCGGAGAGCTCCAGGCAGGGGAGGATGAGATATACCATACGCCTCCATTTCCTGATTTGCAGTATATCAAGATATAGACAGATCTTTATTTTTTGATGTGAAAGCAGAATGAAAAACTAGGTTAAATCAGTCTTGAGGGATATTAAGCCAGTTCTCAGGAAGCCTATGCAATTATTATGCCTCATCCCAGCCTTCTTGATTGGGAACATGCCTTTAAGAACATGATCAGCGCCAGGAGAGCTCCCCCGTAGCCCGGGAATTCCACCCTGTCTGCTGACGAGGAGGGAGGCTGGGCCACAGAAACTCTCCATTCAGAAGGGAAAGCTTTGCTTCCCAATTTTTTTTTGCTTTCTCTTTTTTTTTTTTTTTTTTTTGGCAAATTATAAATGTGCACGTTGGATTCTTTTGTCAACCAAATCTAATGGGACTGGCCTGAGCTGAATGGCTGGTCTGTGTGATGCTCGGACTCGGTTTCTTTTCAGGTGTTCCTTGCCTGTTTCCACCAGATGAGGATTAGCATCTGCCTGCGGGCTCAGAGCAGCTGGGAGCACTGTGTCCCCGGCTGGAGGGTGCTTGTGGGAGATGGAATGTATCATGTCAGACTGGCTGGGGTTTGGATCTGAACAGGTGCCTCTCCAGCCCTGTGTTATCACAGGGCTGTGAAAATAGTGTAGGGCCAGCAGTGAGGATTTTTTACTCTTTTAAACGGTGGGAAAATCATTCAAGGTTTGGTTTTCATCCATATTCTCTTCTGTTCCCTCCAGAGAATCAGGCTCTCAGTTCAGCTATAGGATGAACTGGTTGTGGGGATGATGAGGGGAATAATAATGTTAATCAAACCTTAGGCAGTAGGACAATTCTCAAGGCAAACATGCCTGTGATTTCTTTTGGTTCATTGTCAAACTCCTGAGCTACCTGATCCCAAGCTAGCTGGGGACAAGCTCCTGAAGTCTGAGGGTTTTTTCTGTGGAATTTAGAGACCAGGTTCCCAGACAGAGCATTTTATTGATTTGATATTCTGATAGAATCCACCCAGATCTGAAATTCCAAGTGGAGAAAAATAACTCTAGCCACTACATCTGAAAGAATGTGAAGCTTTCAATCTGGCAACTGCTGGAGTGGGGTTCCCTCCTGTCTCCCCTGTCCCTGACACAGCCCCCAGCCCCAGGAAGATGTGTGGTACACACACAGACACACAAATACAGACACACAGACACACAGAGCCTGTTCTGTTGGTAAATTTACAGTTTGCCTTTGGGAGTGACCATCCATTACAGTTCAGTGCAGCTGTTCACGTGAAGACAGCTTTAAACTCTTCCAGAAACTGCTGGCACACATCTGTGAGTGTCTCTCCCTCCACCCCTTGCTCAGTCCCTTAGAGCACTAGGGAAGTGCTGCCACCTCCTCCACCCTTGGGGGCCATGAGGGAGAAGCTGGTGGCTCTGCACACACCCACTGCTGTGGTCACTCTGCCCCTTTGCCAGTTCCTTTGCAAGTGTAACGTCACGCATGCATGTCCCCCAACCTGCCCTGCTGAACCAGGCAGGGCTCTGCTCCTCATTGTGAAACTCTCGTGCGTTTTATGAGGTTTGACTTTGAAATAACATCTTCCTCCAGCTCTGCTCTGATTTCATCCATTTTTGAATCAGTTTTTGTATAAAGTGTTGAGGTGGAATTAACTTTTACTTCACACTGCAAGCTTCCAGCTCAGAGTCTGTCTTCCTCTGGAGGTACAAGGAAGTGCAGACACCTCTGTGCCATTGCCCCCTACATTGTTGCTTACTCACCTTCCTTCTATCCCTGCATTAAGTTACAAACCTTCCTAAGCCTGTATTGATGGAGCCTGGGTGCCTAAGTCACCAGACGGTATAAACATTCCAAGAGGGGATGTGAGCATCTGTGTTCTCCAGGAATAACCTTGTGTCCACATAGTCATTCCTCCATCCCATAACTGCAGGAGGAAGGAGGAGACCTGTATGCTCAGCTGGTTGAATAATGTTCCTCTTCCCACACAGCAGTTTTGTCAAAATCAAGTTATTGACATGACAGTTCCCTTTGTTGCCCTTGCCCTGCCTGGGGGACAGGACACTCTCCCATCGGAGTGCAAGGATGCTGTCAGGGCAGGGAGTGCCAGGCTGCAGCAGAGTTAGGCAGCATGAAATTGTTTTTAATCTGTGGGCAAGCATCCCTCCTCCCCAGGCAGTACAGGATGCTTGGGAATTCAGAGTTAAGGCTCTGGGAGGGGTCTAAATTCAGGAATTGAACTGCCACATCTCCCACTTCCAAGGGCAGCCATATATGTTGGCACATGAATGGCCTGGAGGCCATTTGGGAGACAGAATTATGCACAGCCCATAGGAGGACCTCTGAGGCCACGCTCCACACTTTGGGCAACCCGAGACCAAGTGCTGTCTCTGCAGAGAACTGAGCCTGCTCTGATGGGCGGTGAGGGGGCACTGGTGTGAGGAGGTGGCAAGGGCAAGGCTACTGCAGTCCATTGAGAGCAGTCAGGATCCCAGAGTTGGAAAAAAATGGGCACCATATAGCCAAGAACTATACTTTAAAATGTAAAGCAATCCAGTCGTTTCCAGCCAGCGGCTTTTCCCCAGCTGTTCGTTTCCAATAGAGTATTATGATCAGTAATTGATACTCTCAGATGTCTCAGTGCAATCCCCAGAGAAGAATGGCCAGGGCAATATATTTTTTTTTCCCAACTCACTGGAAAATTGAGCCCCAGCTGGGGCTAATAAGTGCTTTCATTAAAATACTGATCTTAATCCAAAGCTGAGAATAATGTCCTCTCTGTGCTGCAGCTCTCCTCAGCTCTGACACGGGCTGTGCTTTTCAACAAGAAATGAAAGGAGGATAAATAGACACTTCTCACCCCAACATCATAATAGCACCAATGTTAGGTCCCAGTGAGGCCAATGATTTTTTTTTGATTGCACCAGTGAAATGTGTTCTTGTTTCTTTCATGCAACAAACTCTGTCCAGTAATGGAGATGGGATGTATGGCTGGTGTACCCCTCCATCCTTCTCCTGGATCCATCCTGCTTCCCTGCCCATGGATGGTCTCGTCAGAAAGAATTTGGAGAGCAGGAGTATTGGTCTAGGTGCTGTGTGCGTGCTGAGATGTCTGTTGGACTGCAAGGCACATGAGGAACCATTCCATGATTTCAACACAAGGATTTGTTTTGTCCTCCCACTTCTTCATTTTCTTCTGGACAACCCAGGGATATTATTAGTAATATTTACTCATCCAGAGCTTCTCAGTCAGAGAGGTCATTTGCAAAACACTTCTTGAAAGGTTGAAGGATTTCTCCCCCATTCTCACACTATTTTCACACAAAGAAAGAGGAGTGATCTCCCCTTTTTTCTAGGAATAGGGCCTGTGCATTTCTAGTTCAGTAAGCAAATGTGAAGACAATAGCCTTGATTCGTGTTTTTTTTTGATACTGTCCTCTTTCCAAGGCTGGATATCAGTTTTATTCTGATCAAGAACAGGATCAAAAGGCATATCTTTCTGAGCATTCCTGTTGTTTGGCAAGGCATCAAGTAGAACATAGGATGCCACCCCTCTCCCTCACTTCCCTCCACCCTTTTGTCCTGTTATCTGTCTGCAATACCTTTAATTGAAGGTGGTCCTGTCTTTGCTCATATTTTTTCAACTTGTGCTGTTCTGCCCCAGAGGACACAGACAGGGATGCTCTCTGAGAAGCCTCAGAGGTCACAAGGAAGAGAGAATCTTGATTTATTCTGTAAGACTGACTGGAAATCCCAGAAAAGTCTCCTGAGGCACATCAAATTTAAAACATATGAAGCTGATGGCTATTGCTGGAACAGGACAGGTATCCTGGTGCTCCTGTGAGGAACAGTCCAGGCATGTATAAAGGTGAAGTCCTGATAGTTGAGGTGCATTATGAGGAACAGCTGAACTGTTGGATGCTTCCCTGAAATAAACCCTCTTTTTTTCATCCATTCTCTCTCAGTGCTCAGCTTTATGGATGTGTTTTTTCTCGTCAGGGAAAAAGGGCATTCCAGGTAGCAGAGTTAGAAAGGGAAGTGCCCAGAAATAGAGAATTCATCAGATACCTCTGAGAACATGTGATCAGCTGCTCTCTAAGGAGTCATACAGCTCTGGGGAAGACTTTTAACTCCTTTAATGAATGGCTGCTCTGTGATTTATTCTTTTCCTACTGAATCTAGGATGTCCTCTTTGAACACCAGCACATTTTTGCACTGTCTCACTGATAAAAGTGAAAGGCCAGATTCTAATAATTTCACTGACAGCAAATTACATATTATTTCTGCCTTCACTTCATTTACATCACTCATAACTAGTGCTTGATCCTTTTTTGAAATCCTCTTACTTTGTGAAGTTTTATTCTGTCTTAAATGTAAGGCTGTGACATCTTGTGTGCTGCTTCTGGATTTCCTTCTCTGGATTTGTGGAGCTGCAAACACTTTCTGTTTTAGTACTAAAGCCTCACAAATTCAGTGAATTTTGACCTACACTGGCTGTTCTCAGGTGAGATAAAAATGTCTGTTTGACAAAGACAGTAGTAGAACTGCAGTTAAAACTGAAGCATTAGGGAAACTCCATATGGATTTATGAAACAAAGTGGAAAATACAGAGATTTCGCAGCAAATCTAAA